GGCAGATACAACCCCCCCCCCCCCAGTGGCAACTTTGAGGAGTGTTCAGTTCACAGGTGTTAAAAATGAGTTTCCATTGTTCCAGTGCTTCATGGTACACAAACTTTCACCATGCACTCTCAACAAAAGCCAGGAAGTTGGTTTCCACTAGCTTCCATTAAGTGGTCATGCACATTGCTCATAGGGTCCTGTTCTAAGTGCTAAGGGGTGAACTTTCTTCACTTCATATCTATGTATATCTAGTAGGGAAGCAGGCCAGATATACGTAAGCTTTATTCTCTAGCAAACAACTACTTTTCAAATATACACAAGTTCTAAAATAGAAATTCTGCATTATCTAGCTTTCATGAAAAATGCAATATAGAAATCAGACACCCATGGTGCCAGAAATGACATCTGAAATCTTGATCAAATCATATATGTTATAAAATTTTTTACATGTGCATTCTTAAATAAGAATGAACCAAAATTAGGTTCCCATAGCAGCATGGTGCAACTTTCCTATCAGCACCTTTAGGCAAACATCTCACCTATATTATTCAGATTGGGGTTGATTTACTAAAGGCAAATAGACTGTGCACTGCAAGAGCACTGAAACTGCAGTTGTTCTAGATATGAGGGGAACATGCAAAGAAAATAAAAGAACAGCATTTTGCTTACACATGATTGGATGAAAGAAATCAGCAGAGTTTCGCCTCATTTCAGAGCTTCCCCTCGGATATAAAGCAACTGCACGCGCAGTGCACTTGAAGTGCATTTGCAGGTGCTCTTACAGTGCACAGTATATTTACCTTTAGACCTTTAGTAAATCAATCCCATTGCCTTTACTCCTTTTTTATTCCTGTCTTTTTTAATATACAATACATGTATGCATAGTTTACAAATGGCTAAAACTGCACCAAACGTAACTGGTGTGTATATGGTGTATTCTGAGTGGATGCACAAATCTGGAGAGCAACTGTAGGCAATCCAGGAAAAAACAGAGGTTAGTATCAAGTGGCTTACAAAAACTCATGCAGTGTGATTTCAGTGCATTTTCCTGCTGTTCTGATTTTCTTGGCAATTGCAAATCATTTAAATCTTGCATTTGCATTTTTTTAAGCACGTATCCTGTGTGACCCACAGCAGATGCCACTGTCTTTAGTAACCAACAAGTTTCCATCATTCTTATTCCTAGTGCATGCTAGAAACTGAAAACTACCATTGGTTGCTCTGGCATCCTTGCCTTTAGGATTGATAAATTGGCACTGAAGGGCTTCAGTGTAAATAAGTGCCAAACTAAAATTGTAAACTGCCAGAGTTCTGTTTCACTCAAGTCCATAAAATAACATTGATAACCATCAATCGTTGCGAAACAAAACAGTATTTTCCTTGGAACTTGCAGGCTTATTTAATAAAAAAGGGCAATATGAAATTAATTGTACAATACATATATTATGCAATATGGATGTTCATTTGCACCGATATAGTGCTAAAACACCACAAATATATGAGCGGAGTCATAGAGAAGCTTTATATACTGTTTCTTAAATCTCCAACAAAATGTGCTCCCTGCACATGTGTTACTTCAGAACTCAAGCAATTCCTGTGTGATATGGATAAGCTGCTCCTCATTCATTTAAATGTGTTAATATGGGCAACACCAGGATACTTTCCTAGCTAGTACTTTAAATGGCAGGTCATAAACCATCATCATACTGGTGGCCTAGCAACCAGTGATTCATCCACAACTTAATTCAGCTGCTGGCCGGGAGATTCCATGGCTGAAAGTTAAATGTCAAAAAAAGAGGCAACAGCAGATAATAAGGCCAATATTTAGTCCAATAGGGGCTATGGAGTCCATTCGTTGTCTTTCCTGGTCAATAAAAAGGGAGGCATACCAGATGGGAACTAGCCCCAAAGTCTTACATTAGGCTCTACCCACCCCACAACAAAACTTCTTGCCCAATGCACCTTCTCGTTGTGGTGGGCTCAGTGACAGGGGAGGGAGGTTAGCAACACTGGACCTTCAGTTTTGTTAGGCTCAGAATTTGTGGGTTGCACTGAGCATGGAGTGTCCAGAATAAACACTCTAGCCTCAGTGCTGGCCACCTTCTTCAACAAATTCATGTACCTGTTCCTTTTGTTTTGTGACAAAATTCTAAAGTGTTTTCACAACGTACATTATGAATTTCACTGTATGAGCCTTATGTATCAAAATTGCTCTAATAAGAATAGAATCCTTAATTTTTTTTTCAGCTCTGGATTGCAGAAATGACAGTTGAAAGCTGACTAAAGACATTCTTGTTAGCACATTTTTCCTACATTTTGGAGCTTCCCTATGCCAAGAAATACCACCATTTGTCTTGACACTTATGGCCTTATAATAAAAAATGCTATGACTATATGCATTAGCTCCTCTTAATAGGATTACAAATTATTTAATTAACTTAGCTTGATGCATTTTTCACATAATTAGCAAACTTTTTGCTACATTATTACAGAAGCCTGTATATTTAAATAATTTAGCTCCATTGTTCTCCTAAACTTGTGGCTGGGAACATTTTTATAATTAATAAAAGATGTGAAAAATGTTTGGTGAGACAGCAGAAAAATGTTAACATTCTTGATTTTTTGTTATCTGAAATTTTGAGCAAGAACATTAAAGCAATTAATTCTGAACAATGAATAAAAACAGTATTTCCATTCATTTTCAGTTAATAGATTGGATCTCGGTTTTGGGATTTTACTTGTCTTATGAGTGGTCTTCACTACGTGCATTCATCACAATTGTAAATAATAATCAGTCATACTTTTCACAAAAATAATTTAATTCTAGACAATGCAATAACAGATTTCTTCATGAAATCATGGATATTCTTATGATTTAAAATATGTAAAATAATGGTAATAATGAATTAAATAATACAGTTAAAAACAAAACGTGTATTTATTTTAAAAGCTGCTTTAAGACTCTAGTAGAAAGTGGATTTATATCAAGTAGAACTTAAATGCATTAATGCAAATCTTCAGTCTGGATTGTGTGAAAGTGCATATTTTAGTTGATGTTGCTATCGGCTCTAATGGTCTTGTGTTCTTTATGAATAGGTACTGTATGTTCAGGTCTATTTATAAAGCGCAGCTACTGAAACATTATTAGTGAAAGGGTAAACACAAATGGAAACCTCTTATGCCATAACATGAAATTCTCTTGACTGCTGTTGACTACATGTGCCAGAGCTTGACTGTGTCCCAACTTCACTGATGTATGTCTAAATAGGCAATAATAGCTGAAATGCCATGGAGGAAACTCAAAAATTATACATGTGGCCACAATGAGTGTTTTATGGAACCCTAGAATTCTTCCAGAGGTTGCTAGGGCTTCCTCAAGAAATGAGCTGGTATCTGCCTCTCAGATAAGTTTCCACTGGCATCCAGTGGTGTATTTAGGTTTTTTGCTGCCCTAGGCGCCCCCCACTGAAAATGCCACCCAAAGCAAACGCCTTGTTTGCCCCACAGGAAATATGCCCCTGCTGGCATCATGGATCTTTTTAGCTATCTGTAAGAGGGTAATTCTTCCCAATGATTACAAATATAAGGAGCATTCTTCCCAGCGAACATCACACTAGTGTATCATGAATTGTAGACAGCATAACTTTTACCAGGGGTTCCCTGAGACTGGAAAGTTATTTCAAGGGTACCTCCATTTTGAAAGGTTGAGAAACGCTTGTTTATGACTATGGTTTAGAGCTAAAATGCTCCTCTGAACTTGCCTTCAGCTTTCACATTCCCTCATCATTTACTTCAGTCTTAACCACAATCACACCCTCCCTTTACTCTACATCTCTCTGATTACAGAGCTGAGAAATCTTCTTTGAAGGGAAGAAGTTAGTAAAGAGAAATGTCTGGTCAAAAGATCAATCACTTGTTCAACAAGTTTGTCCTTTTCTAAATAAAAGGAACACTGATCATAGATTGGTCTACTTGACATTAAGTCCTTCCTATCTCATCTGTCACTCGTTAAATTTCCTCCTTAGCCTATTGCTAAAATATGTTTCTTATTGTAAATAAACAATTACAATAAGAAACATACACCGCTACAATTTATATATTCTTATTTGAAAATAATGACATCAAGATTCAGGAATAATTGAGTAGTTTATATAGTAAGTGCCAGGACTTTCATAAAACATTCCTCTTACAAGAATTGGATATTTTATTTTTGTAATGTTCTGACATCATTATTCTGATTATTACATGAATACCTTCCATCAGCTCCATAGTTCTTGGGACAGCCCAACCTATCACCAAGTGGGTGTAGCATTCAAATTAGGTGGCATTAGATGCATAACCTAGCAAACAGGATGGATCTAGGGTGGATCCAAATCTGTACCAGAAAAAGATGGCAAGAGTGGTTGATGTTTCTGAACAGAAACATCATATAGTTAATATATAACAATGCTTAGTTGTGAGTGCTGGTGATATCTCAAAAAGATCATGGTTTTTCAGTTTAAAAATAGATAACAATGTGCATCATAAAAGTGTGCTAAGAAATTGTTTTGTTAATGAAACATATCTTGGAGATTTATGATTCTCTGTGTTTTGCCATAGCACTGTCTTTCTGGCAAATATGCCTGATGATTCATATATGGGATATTAGAGTCGTAAGCTGAAAAATAAACATTGGCTTTAAAATGCTTTCCAAATCTCTCTAGCACTGCGTGGGATAATGAGATTATCCCTTTTATACCTGAGATGCTAACAGTGTGCAGGAGCTCTGTGCAATGACTCAAGGGCGTGTATCAGCCCATATACATAAACAGGGCTACACTTTAGGAGACATAACTCTTGTTCTTTTCTCTATGGTATTACTTAGTAACCATTTGTATGCATGTGGCATGGTTGGTCCATCTGTTACAAGAAATAGGAGTGATATGGGATTTCTCTTTTTAAAGTAGACAAGGGTATGCATAACACAGTTTCATTTTCATTATTGACTCCTGCCAAGTTGTAGACTTTATTTAATGCTCTCCATCACACAGGAACTTCCCATATACATCTGAAATTTTCTCCATGAGCAGCAGCTGAAACTCCTCATTTCCGACTTCAATAGCAGCGGCAAGAGCCAGGCAGAGGTAGGTAGCTGCATCGTCAGCATCCTGTTAATGGAAAAAGCAGACAGTTTATTTAAATGTAGAAATAAATTACAACACAGGGACAGAGCAGTAAGCAAAAATCAATTTTAAGATTACTTAATAGAGCAACGCAGGGAGCAACAAGAATATAGGAAGCACTTTAGCCCATATTAACCAGTTAATTTCTTTTTTTTCGCTAGTTTAAAGAAGTCAGAGCAATGAAAGGTGATTGTTAATTGGTTATTCTGGGTTTCTGCACTTTACTCTTTTCTTTATTAAATAAGCATGAAGTAATGTAGTTTGTTCTGCTTTCAATGTAATATTTATCTATTAGTTTTTTCCAAGTCTTTCATTTTTTTGTTAAAAGAGAACTTTTGAATTGCCCAAAAAAATATACTCACCTAGGTGGATGCAGCATCAGTCCGATGTTTCATCTGCCCCTTGCTACTTCTAAGACTGCTCAAGACTGGCCGCTTCTAAGACTGATCACTTTAAATGGTGTGTTTGGGAAAAGCTGTCCCAAACAAACTATTTCCAAAAATAACAAGTGTGACTGCTGGACAGGCTGTATAAAAACTGTATGTAGCCTCAGCTTCATGCTGTACATGCCTTATGTTCCGGCTGTGGTACACGAACATCCTGTTCCACATATGGAAAAAATAGGTAGCTTTGTATGATCTGAATGAGCAAAAGCTTTCTCTGATTGGTAGGGTTGGAGATTGTGACTTCACTCATTGCCTCCTCACCTCAGCCAATAAGAGAAAGCTTTGTATTAATTCAGAGAACACAAAGTTGCCTATGAATGGCTGAGTGCTGCTCAACCCGACTCAATTTTGTCCTGTTGCTAAAATGGGATGTTCGCATCCAACAGCAATGGTGCTGTATACAGTATGTGGTTGAGGCTACATACAGTTTATACAGTGCACCTGTTAATGTAGGAAATAATTAGTTTGGGATGGTTGGCCCATACAAACTTTTTAAAATGATAGTAAAGCAGTGTTGTCACCCTAGGACAGAAAGTTAGAACTACGGAACACCATTACATAGAGACAAGGTGTTCTTTAGTTCTCAGAAGATAGCTGAGAATGCTAAATATTTGAAATATTAATTTAATGCACAGGAAGCTGCAAGGGTACTGAATGTTTCACAGGATCAAAAAGGTATTCTCTTGCAGAATTTGCTCATAAAAGAAAACCTAATGGAGCTACGGATCCCGCAATTATTGTCAGGATTCCTGCAGAACCTGGACTGTCTCTGTAGTGTCAGCAAACAGTGGGCTTTCTGGATGACAACACTGTCTCTGTTGCTGAAACCCTCCCACTGTGATCTGCAGTGTTTAGGGGTGAAGCATGTAAGAGATACATGAAGGAGGATTTGGATCAGTCAAGGAAGGTAAAGGAAGTCTTTTGTATTCTTTATGAGGCTCGTGTAAGACATAGAAAATAGATTTGGTACTTGTTTAAGCTGTCAAACAGGAGCCTTTAGATGTATTTTAATATTTGTTACAGTAAAAACATACAAAGGGAAAACTGCTTGTGGCATTATCTTTTAATTAAATACACTCTATCTGTGCAGTATCTCAAAATAATTCAAAATTATACCTCTGTAACTCTGATGACACTAAAGTGATTATAAACTGTGAAAATGTAAAATCAAACAAAATCCCTCTGGTAATCAACAAAGTGCTTATGGAATTCTCTATATGTTATCTCTAAGACAAGTGTCACCTTTCTCCTATTAAGTGCGATGTCCCCCAAACGCCAATAGACCTTCACATAATAGGCAGCCTCCACTGCATGTTGAATTGATGAAGAACACACTGACAGCGCCTTGAGGTAACAGTACTCTGCAATCTCATAAATCTGCAAAGTGTAGTATACTCCTGCCAATCGATGAAATGCAACCAACTCTTGTAATGGATCCTCTGGAGAAACAGAGATAAAAAGGATTTAATGCACAAATTAACATATATGCCTTAAATTCCATATCGCTGCATAAAACAGAAAACTAAAAGAGAAGAGGGCTGACACTAGGTAGACTTGATCTGGAGGAATGTAAAATGGCAGAGTCATATAGAGGCGGTGTTGGATTTATTAGCATTTAACATCTGACCAAGTATGCAGCTTGGGAGTTCTGACTTCCTTACTGCCCAACCTGTGGTATGGTTGTTCTCAGAAAGGAGAGTGGAATCCAGAACCCTCATTTTAAAAAAGGGGACACAAGAGACAGTCTGTAAACCAGCAATTCCATCAGCAATATAGCAATGGCAGCTTACTCTCTCTCAGTACAGGTTTGCCTAAAGAAAAAGAAAGAAAAAAACATTCGGCAGGATAGAAATAAGAAAGCTTCCAACTTGGTGTTAGCTCCAGATACATGATCAAGCCACCATACACTTTCACTTTACAGCTGGAGCCGGCTGAGGAAAACAACCACATGCTGCAGCCATAGGTCTGTGCTGAACCTTTCGATCTCTGGACATACTATACAGTTGTACTGAAAAGTTTGCATACCCTGGCAGAAATTGTGAAATTTTAACATTGATATTGAAAATATGACTGATCATGCCAAAAAATGTTCTTTTATTGAAGGATGATGATCATATGAAGCAATTTATTATCAAATAGTTGTTTGGCTCCTTTTTAAATCATAATGATAACAGAGATCACCCAAATGGCCTAGATCAAAAGTTTACATACCCTGGAATGTTGGCATTTGTCTCACCTTGTGTGTCTGTACCAAGGCCAAATTAGAGGTTAATGTCCCACATCTGTGGCTTTTTAAAATGCAATTCGTGTCAGTGTTTTTATAAATAGTCAATGAGTTTGTTACCTCCTTACATGGAAGCACTGACTAGGCTAGATACTGAGCCATGGGGATCAGAAAAGAACTGTCAAAAGTCCTGCGTAATAAGGTAATGGAACTTTATAAAGATGAAAAAGGACATAAAAAGATGTCCAAAGCCTTGAATATGCCAATCAGTACTGTTAAATCACCTATTAACCTCCCTGGCGGTATTCCCGAGTGTAGCTCGGGGTAACATTTCAGTACCAAAAGCGGTAACCCCGAGCTACACTCGGGCTTACCCTGCGGCACTGCTCCGGCATGTGTTCTTCACTTACCTTACCCTGCGCTCCCACGATGTGTCCCCTGCAGCGTCCCCGGCCATCTCCTCCGGCCGATGCCGGCATCCGGCTTCTGTGTCCTGTCCCTGTGACGTCGGGACGTACGGGCGCCGCCGCCGCCGGCGGCGGGAAATTTTAAAATTTTCAAAAATTTCATTTTTTTTTTTTTACATTTTACATAGTAAAACATTGGTGTCTCAACCAATTTCACATACATATTGTCCCTAGTGCTTTGTCCTGCGCCCTGCCTGCATTTTGTCTGTTCTTTCTGCCTGGAAACTGAGAAATGTCCATGGCATCCAAAAAGTGTCCCTTTAGGTCAAAAGCGGTTTAGATCAGCTAGAGAACAGCGATAGTAAATCAGAACCACTTGCAGAATTGAGTGATAATGATTCGTGGGGGAAATTCGTCATCAGACACTGAAAACGATTTTGCGACTGAGCTCAGCGATGTGCGAACTTGGCGCTATATTTCACATTTCAGTGTTTTTGGTTTGATTATATTATTGAATTAAATTTTTTATTATTTTATATTATTTTTATGATTATTTATTAAATTATAATTTATGATTTTGTGTTTCAAATTTTATCATACCCGGGATGTTTACTAGACTCTTGTTCGGACAGATTTCAGTGAGTTTTTCCTAAAAATTACAGCCTACAATAAAAAAAATACATATTTCCATGCAAAAAAAATGGTACCGCTTTCAGCACCAAAAATCTGAAATAATCATACCGCCAGGGAGGTTAAGAAGTGGAAAGTTCGGGGATCTCTTGATACCAAGCCAAAGTCAGGTATACCAAGAAAGATTGCAGCCTTAACTGAAAGAAGAATTGTCTGGGATTCAAAGAAGAACCCACAGGCAACCTCAAAATAAAAACAGTCTGCTCTGGAAAAAGATGGTGTGGTTGTTTTTAAGGAGTACAATACAGTGATACTTGAGCTGTTTGGTCGAGGTTCCAGGAATAAGCTTTTACTGCACCAATGCCACAGAAAAGCCCAGTTACAATATGCCTGACAACACCTTGACATGCCTAACCAGGCCTTTTTGTGTCATTGATGCAGTAAAGGCTTCTTTCTGGCACTTCCACCATGCAGCTCATTTTTGTTCAAGTGTCATCATATTGTGCTCCTTCAAAACAACCACACTGTCTTTTTCCAGAGCAGCCTGTATTTTTCTTGTGGTTACCTATGGGTTTCCCTTTGTATCCAAAACAATTCTTCTGTCAGTTATAGCTGCAATCTTTCTTGGTCTACCTGACCTTGGCTTGGTATCAAGAGATCCCTGAACTTTCCACTTCTTAATAGGTGATTTAACAGTACTGATTGGCATAGTCAAGGCTTTGGACATCTTTATATGTCCTTTTCCATCTTTATAAAGTTCCATTACCTTGTTACGCAGTTCTTTTCTGATCACCATCGCTCAGTATCTGGCTCAATATCTAGCCCAGTCAGTGCTTCTATGTAAGAGCTAACAAACTGATTGATTATTTATACACTGACACTAATTGCAATTTAAAAAGCCACAGATGTGGGACATTAACCTCTAATTGGCATTTGTGTCACCTTGTGTGTCTGTACCAAGGCCAAACATTCCAGGATATGTAAACTTTTGATCATGGCCATTTGGGTGATTTCTGTTATCATTATGATTTAAAAAGGAGCCAAACAACTATTTGATAATGAATGGCTTCATATGATCATCATCCTTCAATAAAAGAGCATTTTTTGGCATGATCAGTCATATTTTCAATATCAATGCCAAAATTTCACAATTCTGCCAGGGTATGTAAACGTTTGAGCACAACTGTATATGTTGGTAATGATCATTGATAGCTCTTTTGGTAATAACTCCCACTGTTGTCTTTATTTTGTTCCTATTATAGAGGGCTTAAAGAGTAACTCCACTTTTCTTAAGAATAAGCATTCCCCTTTGGGTGATCCATATACAGTGTAAGGATGTTAACAAACTTTGTTACAGATTTCAATCTGTTTCTGCTCTGAAAAGCTGTATGTTCCACCAAGTCTTTTGGATACTGATTTTGAATGGGAGTGACTATTTAACCATTTCAATACCGTGCAATTTTACACCTTCCTGCCCAGGCCAGTTTTTCAGGTTTCAGCGCTCTCACACTTTGAATGACAATTGCGCGGTCATACAACATTGTACCCAAACTAAAATTTTATCATTTTCTTCACACAACTAGAGCTTTCTTTTGGTGGTATTTAATCACCGCTGGGGTTTTTATTTTTTGCTAAATTAACAAAAAAAGACCAAAAATTTTGAAAAAAAACACATTTTTCTTTGTTTCTGTTATAAAAGTTTACAAATAAATAATTGTTCTTCATAAATTTAGACCGAGATGTGTTCTGCTACATGTCTTTGGTGAAAATAACCCAAATTAGGATGTATTTTTTAGTTTGTAGGAAAGTTATAGAGTTTACAAACTATGGTATAGATCTGAATATTGATCAATCCTGAAGTACTGACAGCCAATCTAATATCTTGAGGTCCAAGAATGTCAGAACAGTACAGATATCCCCCAAATGCCCCCGTTTTGCAGAGTAGACAGTCCGACGTACTTCATAAGAGGCATGGCAAGTTTTTTGAAGTTGTATTTTTTTGTCATAATTTTTTGGAAAAAGAAAAAATTAAAAAAATTATTTTCACTATTTTTTTTTTTACATACTGTCACCAGTGCAGTACAGCGTCATCATATAACTGGCATGGCGGTGAACAGCGACACTGACTGGTGACAGTATGAAAAAAAAAATATATTTTGTTTTTAATTTTTTTTTATTTTTTTATTATATTTAATTTTTTATTACATTTTTTTTATTTTTTTTAAGATTTTTTTTCATATTTTACTATGACCAAAATAGTACAATGTTACCATAGTAACACTGTACTACTTTGGGGAAGTGATCAGTATTTTTTTTTTTTTTTTTTTTTACAATTTTGCTTATAGCAAAGAATTACTTTGCTATAAGCAAGCATTTACCTGAATGAAATCGATTCATTCAGCTTTTTTTTTTTTTTTTTTTTTTTTTTGTGCTTAGCTGTGATTTGGTCACAGCTAATCACATGACATGTGCATGTAATTAGCTGTGACCATTCACAGCTAGGCACTAGTATAAAATGGATGGCATCATGAATGAAGCCATCCATTGTATACAACTGTCATGTGACCTGCTGTGATTGGTCACAGCAGGTCACATGGTACCAGCAACAGGAGTCGGTACTCGGATCTGTCATCGGCCGTGTCCGAGGTGCACGGGCGGTGACAGATTGCACTGCTGCGTCGCTCTGCAACCGCGCAAACCGCGCATGTGCGGGAGCACGCCAAATGGCGTGCACCCGGAAAGCTGCAGCGCTTTTCAAGCCGCCAAACGGCCATTGGCCGGGCGGCTAACGGTTAAGTTTATTCTGCTGGTACACTTGGAGTGCTCTGAAGAGAAAAGCAACAGTTTCTGCATCCCATAAAATGTAATTAACTCTTAGAGAGTATCTAACTAAAAGTGATATCTAAAATCTGAATTGTACCCTAGTCTAGCATTCTTCAAGCAAGCAGGAATTTTGGGAGACATTCTGTGCACCAACAGAACACCTCCAGGAGCCATATTGCATCATTTTTTAAAAAATTACAGCAGATGCAGTTTGAAAAGGAATGATAATTTTTAATCATATTGACTTACAGTATGGCTTGAGTAGCAATTGTATATGCTAAAATATATTTTTTCTCATGAAAGAGGAGTTACCATTTAATTTATGTTGATAGATATGACTGCTTTTTTTCTGTGCAGCAAAGCTTCGCCTAAAAAAGTGGGCTTTTGTTTCAGGAGTTATTTTGGGAGTCTTCATTTTTTTATTGTGGGTATACTGATTTGTATTGTATTTTCATAGGACTTTTTCAGGTTAAACTGATTTTTTTAAATGTTGGTTTTTTCAGATGTGCTTTTTTGGGTTACATTCCTTTCTTTTTTTCTTTTGTGTGTTCTTTTTTTTAGCTTGGGGTGTTCAAGACACAGCATTCACATGTGCATTCACAGTATGCCACTTTATTTTATGAAAGAAAAATAAAACTAATTGGGAAAACAGTGATCCTGTAAACCACCTCACCTATAAACACTCACACCCCCCTCCATCCCGATAGATACACTAAAAGGTAGGCATACCGAGGTTGATTTACTAAAGACAATTGAACTGTGCACTCTGCAAGTACAGTTGCTCCAGAGCTTAGTAAATAAGCAGAAGCTCTGATGACTTCCCTCATCCAATCATGTGCAAGCAAAAATGCTGCTTTTTTATTTTCCTTGCATGTGATTGGGTATTCTTTGCAAAGTGAAGCTTTACCTCATTTACTACGCTCTGGAGCAACTGCCCTTGCAGAATGCAATTGTACTTTGCAATGTGCACAGGCTATTTGTCTTTAGTAAATCAACCCCACAGTATACCAGTTTGGCCAGCAACAGGACAAATTTAATCAGGGATAATAGGCCTTAATTACATTGCTTTATCTTCTGCAGTATCCCAATTCTTGTAGTAAAACCCCTACCTATCCTCTTTGTCAGTGGTAAATTTGGAAATAAAACTTTAATGAAAAGTGTACTGCTGGTGAGCAATGTTACACTGCTGTGCCATCTGGGATGTCTTTACTCCTAGTAAGAGTTTGATAGAGACTCACTGAACCCCTCGTGATATAGATAAATACTGTAAAAAAAACACACATACCTTCCAGTCACAAAATGTTTAAAAATGACAGTACAAGGGCCTCTTCCCCACCTACAATGCCCAAGAAGGAGGGGGAGAGGTAATATGGGGGGGGGGGGGGGTTGACGACTTATAGTTGAATCTTGAAACCACCTTCAATCTTGAAAAAGGGGACCCATTTATTTGCCTTTTCACAGGGGCATACGTACAGGAGTACTTTTCCCTAGGGGTAAAAATTCCCTAGGAGTTTAGTGTAAATAACCACACACACCTTGGACATTTGAGACCAATACATGACAAAAAAAAAGTAATAAAAAAATGTCAATAATGTCCACTAAGTAATCAAGTGTCAGTTGCAATGCTCAGTGGTGTAATCTACCTTTTTAAACCCCCCTCGATCAAGGCAACCAAATGCCCATATTTTTCTTTGTCATATTAAAAAGGGATGTTGGTGCATGACCACACAGTTCCAGGATCATGGGCTATTGTTACAAACTCCCATCAATGTGTACCCGCTGCAATTGCATCATTAACCATTAGACGCCCGGCCAATGGCCGTTTGGCGGCCGGCAAAATCCTTCAGCGTTCCGCGTGGACGCAATATGGCGTCCTCCCAGGCATGCGCAGTTTGCGTGCCTGAGGAGCCGCGCAGCGGCGTGATCTGTCACCGGCCGCGTACCTCGGACATGGCTGATGACTGATCTGAGTACCGGCCCCGTTGCCGGTACCATGTGACCTGCTGTGACCAATCACAGCAGGTCACATAACAGCTGTATACAATGGATGACTTCAATCATGCCCTCCATTGTATACTAGTGTGCCTAGCTGTGAATGGTCACAGCAATCACATGCACAAGCTGGGCCAATCACAGCCCAGCTGTGTCATGTGATTAGCCGTGGACAAATCACAGCTAAGCAAAAAAAAAAAAAAAAGAGCCCTGAATGAATCGATGTCATTCAGGTAAATGCTTGCTTATAGCAAAGTAATTCTTTGCAATAAGCAAATTGTGTAAAAAAAAAAAAAAATACTGATCACTTCCCCAAAGTAGTACAATCTTACTATGGTAACATTGTACTACTTTGGTCAAAGTGAAATATGAAAAAAAAAAAAATCTTAAAAAAAAGAAAAAAAATGTAATAAAAAATTAAAAATAAAAAAAAAATTTTAATTTTTTTTTTCATACTGTCACCAGTCAGTGTCCCTGATCACTGCCATGCCAGTAATATGATGCTGCTGTACTGCACTGGTGACAGTATGTAAAAAAAAAAATTGTGAAAATAATTTTTTTTTCATTTTTTTCATTTTCCGAAAAATTATGACAAAAAAAATACAACTTCTAAAAACTCGCCATGCCTCCTATGAAGTACGTCGGACTGTCTACTTTGCAAAAAGGGGTCATTTGGGGGATATCTGTACTGTTCTGACATTCTTGGACCTCAAGAAATTAGATTGGCCGTCAGTAGTTCAGGATTGATCAATTTTCAGATCTATACCATAGTTTGTGAACTCTATAATTTTTCCTACAAACTAAAAAATACATCCTAATTTGGGTTATTTTCATCAAAGACATGTAGCAGAATACATCTCGGCCTAAATTTATGAAGAACAATTATTTATTTGCACACTTTTATAACAGAAACTAAGAAAAACGTGTTTTTTTTAAAAACAATTTCGGTCTTTTTTTGTTAATTTAGCAAAAAATAAAAACCCCAGTGGTGATTAAATACCACCAAAAGAAAGCTCTAGTTGTGTGAAGAAAATGATAAAATATTAGTTTGGGTACAATGTTGTATGACCGTGCAATTGTCATTCAAAGTGTGAGAGCGCTGAGACCTGAAAAATGGCCTTGGAGGGAAGGGGGTAAAAGTGCCCTGTATGGAAATGGTTAACTGACAAATCCCCAGCGCTGTGGTAAAGGAAACACAGCGTCAGGAATCCTTGGTGATATCACACTGATCAAATATGTTCATGACCAAACATTGTTTACTTTCAGACTTAAGATCTGCTTTCTACAAACCCATACTGTTAGAAATACTGGTTCTGCCATTGATAACCTGAATACTGGTTGTCTGGCTGCCTTTGGCTTCAGTACTTTGGGCCAATGACCTGGAACTAGCATGCAGATTAGAAAGCGAGAATAAGTTCAGAACTCCTAATCTACATATGTGTTTTAGCCCAGGGACTCAGAAAGTATTAAAGCCACTTAAATTTACTGTTGGAAAGGATGGCACTGAAATCCTGCAGGTTTTCTCAGAGCACCTTTCCTTTTAGGAGCCTAAATACAGTGCTTTACTCCATTTATTTCCTATAAACGCGTCATTTCTAGTAACAAAAAAATGAATGTTAGTATGAAAATGACAAGTGTATGTTCTGGTATATCCTGCTTACATTTAGTGTACATTTTACTGTGGGAAAGATAAAAATAAAATGGCACAGGTTCAGTAATGTAGGGGTTATAAGGTTAAATCAGAGAGAAATCATAAGAAATTGTTTCATGTTGCACAAATTTGGTGCTCAGCAGTAGGACAAAGATGAGAAACGTATTACTGATAAAACAGCATATAAAAAACATATGTTTAGTCTCTGCAGGATACAACATTCTTTACATAAAATGACCACTAGAACATAAACTTTTTCTTTATAATTGAATTACTGAATGTCTTAACCTTTCTTTTATTTATAAATGTAAGTATGATGAAGAGATATTGCGAGCTCCTTATGGAGAATGCAAAAGCCAATAATAACAGATGATAACAGAGATAGATTCAACAGCCATGTCCCAGTACAGAACTGGGATAAAATTGTGCAAAAGTTAAGACACTCAAACAACTGTTAAAATATTAGTCCTCAATCGATGAGTTGGGAACCACATACGGCTCTTGGGAACCTACTCTTAAAGTGTCTGCTAACAGTCTTTCAGCAACAGTTCATTATCAACATGCACAACACCTTTTGCATTTACTGCCTTCCCATAGCATTGACCTAAACAAATGTAAACTGCACAATTTGGTATAATTAAAATATATTGTGTGTGGTATTTACTTACTAAATGCCAGAATCACGGTACAAAGTGTGATGGAATTCAATTCAGTATCAGAAAATTGAAATAATCACTCTATATCATTGCTTAGGGAGATGCCACCATGCTGCAGGATCTCTTTGGCCCATGTTTCAGACATTTATTGCTTTTAAGCATTGGCTGCTTCTTTTCCTTTTCCTCTCATGTTATTAATGTCTTTATGAAATGCTAAAAGTATTTATTTTTCCCATTTAGACATTTTTGTTACTGTGTTCACAAATAAAGAAGGCAAAATGTATCAAATAGAGCTTTTAGCTGCCAAGTAAAAATATTAAATATCACAATGGTGATATCAAACTGAAATAAATTCTCCTGTGCATTTTCAAATATTGTATATACAATAAAGTGTGCGCAAAATTGAGAATGTAACCTGAGGTTTAGTATACACACCCACAAGCGTGCCGAGTCGGACTGCCATAGTAGCAAATTCCAGTGATGCTTTATAGTCTCCTTGGCTTACTAGTAGCTGAGTGAGTTTATGGTAAAGTCGCAGCTGCGATTTTGTGTCCTCCAACTTCTTTGCTAGTGGCAGAGCACCTTCCTGTAAACAGGGTGACGTAAAAAAAAGATCTTAGTGATATACATAAATGTAAAAATCAGAAAGACAAATATACTGCAATAAAAGATATTTCAATGAATTTGTTGAATGGGTTGGCAGTTTAGTATGTTTAACATTTGCCATGAAGGCAGGTATATCTGTGGGTTGCACAGCTCCAGCCAATCCTCTTTAAAGTGGTTTTAAACCTCAGACATGAAATCTGAACAAAGCACATATTTCTATTGTGTTTACTTGCCTCTCTCCAAAGCACTAAAGGATTTACAGTATTTACTGAACAGTGTAACAGCTGATACAGATGTGGATGGTAGCTAATCAGCTTCTGACTTCAGTTTGTTTAATTATGCTTTGACAACAAAAAAAAAATGGAAGCTGATTGGTTTTTATGCAAAGCTGCATCTGATTTTGCACTCTCCAGTTTTGGTAAATCAACCCCTAAGTCCTCATGCACACTGCTTTTTACAGCTGCTGTTTTTGGCTTCTGGTGTTTTTTTCTACAGCCAGTAAACTCCCAGAGTTTTTTGGCAGAGGCGTTTTTGGTTGGACGAAAAACCCAGAACTAGTGGGTTTCTAGAGGAGTCTTTTAGCTGTAAAAATGCTCTAACGCTGAAAGACATGGCAAAACGTGGTAAAATGCAACAAACCGGTGTTTTGGGACATTTTTTGAGCATAAAAAATTTTGGGGGTAAAAAAAAGCGAAAAACCGCAAACGTGGAAAAATGCCACTAAAACACTAGTGCAAAAACGCTAAAAAATGTGACTTTACGTGACAGCTAACGTTACCAGCATTATTAAAATGCCCAGTGTGCATGGAGCCTAAGTTTCATTTCTCTCTGCTGTCTTGTTCCTCTGTTATCAGCACTTCTGACAAATTTTCCTGACACCAAGAGCTGAAAAGGTGACATAGGATGGAGCTCCAGCACGCATGCTTTGATTGACAGCTTCAGCTCTGTAACTGTATGCTGTGTGAAGGGGGGTGGGGGGGTGTTCCTTCCCACTAATAAGCTGCCAGAGCTCTGGTACAGTGTGTAACATCAGTTCTATGCTCCCTGTTTTGTGAGTCTGTATCCTTTTCATCTCTGAAATTTACAAGGCTGTACAGGACAAATGGCTGCAGATAAACAGATACTGCTTGTGTAGGATGATTTGATTAATCTCTGTGTATCACCTATAGATAGTCACTTCACTGAGTATAGGTAAGGCTTAACAACCACTTTAACCATCTTTTTTGTTAAATACATGCATGCAATTATCTTGAATTTGGACCTGCAATTTGCCTATTTAGTTACTCTAAAAGTGGGACAACAGCTATATGCTCACTATATTCTGGGTGGACTGCAAATTTCCACAGCTTCTTCATTAGTAGAGCAAAAATGCAGATATTTGCTTATCTATATGGATTACATGACTGGGCTGATTTACTAAAGAAGCTGAGGCTTTTTGCACTATAAAATGTGTAATTATTCACTTAAATTAGCCATTTATGTCAAAAATACATTCCTAGTTACTTATTTCATCTTCACATGATTGGGTGTTCAAAGAGAGCAGGAATTTGCTTTTCATATGATTGGATAAATATTCACCCAATCTATCATGTGAAGATTCTCTTCTCCTTTGATAAATCAACCCAATTCATACTGCTTTTTAGTCAGAGTCTGGTAATGTATTTTCCCACTCTAACTCACTTTTGAACATGCAAATTCTGTACATTCTTTCATAAGTAAAATACCTTTTACAATAATCTCTTTAAAGTATGACTAAAGGCAAAACTTTTTTTTAGATTTGGATAGAGTAGAGAGGGATTAGAACACATGTCAGGTTTTGCTCTCTGTGCCCCTATTAGGGAGATTCATCATCTCTGCTTGTCCTTTTTACTGTCAAGTGAAAGAACATTCAAAATTTTACATTGTCGACAAAGCAGGAATAGAGAGGAAATCTTCCACTATTTCTGGTGAAAACCAGGTATTCCCTCACATTACCTTCACTGATCGACTTCTGTATAACCAGCCTGCTGGAAAATTTCCACACGATCAGCCCACCAGCTTTAGCCAGCAGCACTGACCAGTGTATTCTGATGATGGCGAAGTCCCCCTGGTGTCAGAATACAAAGACTCAGCTGGAGGGATTCCACCATCCACATTAAATGTGTGGATGGGGACATTGGACCATTTTTTTTTCCACTCAACCTGCTGGTTGAGCAAAAATAAATGAATCATGTATGGACTGCCTTACTCTATCCAAAATGAAAAAAAAAAAAAAAGTTTTGCCTTTAGTGCTACTTTAAGAGTATATGTTCGGTGGTTAAATCTCTGATTACTCATCAGGTTTTATGTGCTGATTACCTTATAAAAAGGTAGAGCTCTCTCTCTCTTCTGTAGCCCATGGAAGAACACATCTCCTGCAGCTTCATACAAGTGCAATGTAGCAGTAAAGTGCTCGGACTTCTGGGAAGCCTGGATTCCAGCCTGCCATAAAGTCATCAAAAGTTATCTTCTGAATTCCAGATAAATGAACAATCAGCAGTCATTGAATCATGTCCCTGAGAGGTCTACCTTATCTTTAATACATTCTTTTGCTGCATTAAACTGGTCATCTTCATTGTGTTATAATAGCTATATGATGTCATTTATCTCTACTTGTAAGTGCTAAAGTTTCAGAGTAAGTTACATAGCATATAGGTTATTTTACCTATTTTTATATTTTTTAATGTTTATGTCTGAGTAATTAAGAAAAACCATTTAAAAACATATTTAAAGCATACCTTTTTTTTTCATTATTAAAGTATATGTGAGCCTTGTATAAGAACTAGAGATGAGCGAATCGAACTTGGCGAAGTGGAATTCGTTTCGAATATTAGGAAAAATTCGATTCGCGCCGAATCCGAAAATTAGCAAACTTCGGATGCACGAATCGAATTTTCCCTGATCGGCCGATTTTCATCCCTTCTACAGCCGGCAAAAAGTGTCCCTGCAGAGAGCTCCGCTATTTCTGACAGTTCTCTGACAGTTCCTTCACATTTACAGCGGTTGAAACATTGTATCTATTTGTTTCCATTTAGGATACAGATGTTTTTATTCGGAAACAAATAGATACAATGTTTCAACCGCTGTAAATGTGAAGGAACTGTCAGAGAACTGTCAGAAATAGCGGAGCTCTCTGCAGATACACTTTTTGCTGGAATGGAATTCTTCTTATTTTCATCCTACTTCTTCTTCTTCTTCTTCTACTACTTCATCCTCATCCTCTTCTTCTTCTTCATCCTCATCCTCTTCTTCTTCATCCTCATCCTCTTCTTCTTCTTCTTCCTCATCCTCTTCTCTTCTTCTTCTTCTTCTTCCTCATCCTCTTCTTCTTCTTCTTCTTCTTCTTCTTCTTCTCATCCTCTTCTTCTTCTTCTTCTTCTTCTTCTTCATCCTCTTCTTCTTCTTCTTCTTCCTCATCCTCATCCTCTTCTTCTTCTTCATCCTCATCCTCTTCTTCTTCTTCTTCTTCATCCTCATCCTCTTCTTCTTCTTCTTCCTCATCCTCTTCTTCTTCTTCTTCCTCATCCCTTCTTCTTCTTCTTCTTCTTCTTCATCCTCATCCTCACCCTCTTCTTCTTCTTCATCCTCATCCTCTTCTTCATCCTCATCTTCTTCTTCATCCTCATCTTCTTCTTCATCCTCATCCTCTTCTTCTTCTTCATCCTCATCCTCTTCTTCTTCAATTGAAGCTGCTTCTGCTCCGCCACTCTGCCATTGGACTCTTGATAGTCGTCTCCCCACACTGCTGCTGGGGGGACTTTTTAACATAGGCCTCTGTATGGCCTTCAATTTAAGCTGCTTACGCTTCGCCACTCTGCCATGGGCCCCTCTACCGCCTCCTCATGCTGCTGCCAGGTCCAGAGTGTGTCATGGGTCCCTGTACGGCCTCCCATTGCTGCTGTCTCCATCGCCACACTCTGCCATGTGCCACTTTCAGGTCTCCTCACACTGCTGGTGGGTTCCATTTTGTCATAGGGTGCTGTATGGCCTCCCATTGCTGCTGCCTCCACCGCCACACTGTGGCTCCACACTCTGGTTTTGGCCCCGTGACTGCCCAAATGAGTGCAGTGTGCGGTGATTCTAAGATCGACGGCACTCATCTGCATGTCATACTGACTGACAGTATTATTTCTCTTCCCCAGCAGACTCCAAGGGCATTTAAATTAATGGTACAGTGTTCTGCACTAATATAAAGGCTCTCTGAAGCCTAGAAACCCTTTTAATAAGTTAAATTCGCAGCGAATAAATTCGCATCGAATCGAATTTATTCCGCAAATTCGGCGAATCAGCCAAATCGAATTTTTGAATAATTCGCTCATCTCTAATAAGAACCCATTCAGTTTAAATTAGCAATGCAAAGCAAAATGTTTGTGTATGTATACAGTGGGGAAAATAATTTTTTGATCCCCTGCAGATTGTGTACATTTGCCTACTTAAAAAGAAATTAAGGGTCTATAACTTTAGATAGAGACAGAATATCAACCAAAAATCCTGGAAAAAACACATAATACAAATGTTAAAAATTGAGTTGCAGTTCGGTGAATAAAGTAAGTATTCGATCCCCAACCAAAACATGACTAAATACTTAGTGGAGAAACCCTTGTTGGCAAGCACGGAGGTAAGACGTTGCAGTTGGTTACCAGGTTTGCACACATCGTAGGAGGGATTTTGGTCCACTCTTCTTTACAGATCTTCTCTAAATCTTTAAGGTTTCTTGGCTGTCAATTGGCAACTCAAAGTTTCAGTTCCCTCCATACATTTTCTATAGGATTAAGGTCTGGAGACTGGCTAGGCCACCTTAATGTCCTTCTTCTTGAGCCACTCCTTTGTTTTCCTGGCAGTATGTTTTGGGTCATTGTCATGCTGGAAGACCCATCCACGACCCATCTTCAGTGGCTCAGGGAAGAAAGTTCTCAGCCAAGATTTTACAATACATGGCTTTGTCCAATGACCCCTCAATGCAGCAAAGTCGGGATGTACCGTTAGCAAAGAAACAGCCCCAAAGCATAATGTTTTCACCTCTGTGCTTGACTGTAGGGATGGTGTTATTAGGGTCATGGTCAGCATTTTTCTTCCTCTAAACACAGCGAGTTGAGTTAATGCCAAAAAGCTAAATTTTGGTCTGACCACAGCACTTTCTCCCAATCCTTCTCTGAATCATTTAGATGTTCATTAGCAAACTTCAGATGGGCCTGTACACGTGCCTTCTTGGGGAGGTGGTCCTTGCGGGCACTGCAGGATTTCAATCCATGGCAGCATATTGTGTTAGCAATGGTTTGTTTGGTGACTGTGGTCCCAACTGCCTTGAGATCATTCACAAGCTCCTCCCGTGTATTTCTAGTCTGATCCCTCATTTTTCTCATGATCATCCTTACTCCATGAGGTGAAATCTTGCATGGAGCTCTAGACCAAGGGCGATTGATGGTTATTTTATATTTCTGCCATTTGCGAATAATCACTCCAACAGTTGTCTCCTTCTCACCAAGCATCTTGCTAATGGTCTTGTAGCCCATTCCAGCCTTGTGCAGTTCTACAATCTTGTCCCTGACATCCTTTGACAGCTCTTTGGTCTTGCCCATGGTGGTAGCCAAGAAAGAAATTCTGTGGGCAGGTGTCTTTTATACACATAACGAGTTGTTGTTAGGTGCCCCTACTTAAATTGACAGGACTAATCTGTGTACCACATGAGCATATAGCCAGTCTGTTGGTTGGTAGGGGATCAAATACTTATTTTACTCACTGAAATTTATAACATTTGTATTATGTGTTTTTTTCTGGATTTTTGATTGATATTCTGTCTCTATCATTTAAAATACACCTATGATAAAAAATTATAATATACATATATTTTTTTTTTCCATTTTTTTGTAAGTGATCACATATCTGTTATCAGCTGCATAAGGGGCTTAGAGACTTAGGAGTGGATAAACAGTATTATACTGATCTTCCTAGTAAAGAACTGTGCAGGAGGGGCAGGTCATCACAAGTCTGACCACTGGAGGACAGGCAGGCTGTTCTACCAGCACAGACAGAAAACAGATTATGCTATAATGGATGAGTTTTTCTATGCCTAGCATGGTCAGTTTGAAATAAGGCAGGGGAAATGGCAGGAACACCAGAAATTTCACAGAAAGGAAGAAATACATAGAGAACAGTATACTTTATAAGTACATAGTAAAACAGGCACATATCAGGAATGAAATGTTGGGGGTAACATATTCTTTAAGCACTGAAGCTGAGAGGAGCAATCTCCTCTACATTCAGCAACAGCTGTGTAGTGTGAGATGGTAACAAAATAATCCACTCAATTTATATTACATCAAGTAGTTCCTCATACTGCACTATTGTCTATGTCCCACTTTCGAAAACTGTGAGAAGACAAGGTCTTAATTGCAGAAGAGACATGCAATGCACCCCAGGCACATGATGTGAACAAGCCCAAAATATTTTCTACAAGTCAAATCTGCACTTTTTTCCCCATCAGTTTTTATGTACATTTTTTTATAATGCTTTAGTCATGTGCATTTCTAACTACATATTTATGAACACTGAGGAATGAACTGTACAAAATGAGATCTGACCCAGACTGGAACAATTAGCAGATTCTGAATCCCTGCAATAGTCAATATTATACTCTACTGATATGTGTACAGATTTCTCCTTTGGTATCACTGACATGCAGATAAATCTCAACAAGCTCATCCTCTCGCAGTAGATGATACAGTTTTCCAGCTTGTATCCATCTTTCAGCAGACTTCTCATGCTGCCCCAGGTCAATGGAAATCCTTAGACTTTGCTTAGTATAGTCTAGTGCTTTCCGTAGGGACCTGCAAATAATACAAACATTGACATAAGGTATATAGATTCCCCAATTCATTTACGCAATTCAAAGTGAACCTGACATGAAGGTCCCATAAAAATGTAAGCACACTCTGCTAATCTCCAGGTTTCATATAACTTTAAAAAGTTCATTTGAACCAAGCTAGTCCAAGCAAACTAGGTACCTCCATAAACTTCAAAGAAATCTCTCTAAAGATTGTTAGGTCACAATTCTGGCAACTCCACTGAAGTTGAAGTTAGAGGCGCTATTAGGGTATTTAGCATCCTGAGAATCAGGGCTTCTGGAACTCTATTTAAAGTGGTTGTAAAGGCTCAAGGTTTTTTTACCTTCATGCATTCCATGCATGAAGGTAAAAAACCTTCTGTGTGCAACAGTGCCCCCAGCCCCCTCAATACTTACCCGAGCCCCATCAAGATCCAGTGATGTGAATGACAGCCTCAGCTGTCCTGGGTCTCTGCCTCCTCCTTAGCTGAGATAGCAAGTGGGAGCCATTGGCTCTCACTGCTTTCAATCATGGCCAGTCACCCAATGAGGAGAGAGAGGGTGCAGGGCCAAGCTGCAGCTCCATGTGTGAATGGACACAAGGAGCAGTGGGTGCCCCCATAGAAAGCTGCTTGCTCTGGGAGCACCTGACAAAAAGGAGGAGCCAGGAGGGCCTGTGGGGGACCCAAGAAGAGGAGGATCCAGGCTTGTTATTTTACAAAAAAAAAAAGAGAACCTTTAGTAACGCTTTAAGGGAAGCTAAACACCATGCTAACACAGTTTTGAGCTCAGTCCTCATAAACAAGCAGCTTGAGCCAAGAACATTAGTGTGGTACCCAGAATCAGAAAGCACCCACTGACAACCTCTTCACTTTAAGTGAATTGTTATAAGAGTCACCTATTTACATGTATGATTACATGCAGCAGTTTGCACATGCACACTTATGAACTGGCTCATCATAGTAGACCAGAATGTTGTAGTAAAGTGTTTTACAGTAAGGTAAGCATTTAAAGTAAAACTAAAAGTAAGGGAGGGTTATAACCCATGTCAGATTGGATTTTTTTTCTGTCATCTATGTCCTATTCGGGATATTTCCCTTCATTTCCTGTCCCATTACCAAAACAGGAAGTGAGAGGAGATCCCTGCAAATTAGGGGAATGCCTTGGGACCCCTTAGGTCATCAGAACTAGTGTCCCCGTTGGAAGACTCCCCCCCCCCCCCCCCCGATTACCATTCTGGGGACAATCCAAAATTTGGGATTTTCTTTTACTTTCACTTTCAATGCTAAGAGTAAATAGGATAAACAGAGAGGGTGAATATATAAAGGGGGCACAGACAGCAATAAAAACTTGATAGGTATTCTACAGTAATCCATTCCCACTCTGCCCGAAACTAAAAGAAAAAAAAAGTTTTGCCTTTAGTTATACTTTAATTTTTATTTTGCTTTGTTGCTGCCACTACTTGAAAGTATTGAAAACTGCAAAGAAAGCTGAGGTCACATTTTGAAGGTTTATCGGTTCTGCATGTCGAACAAATGGAGACTATCAAGTTTTCTTTTAAAGCTGATCTTCCACTGCAAACCAAAGGTCCCCTTTTTTGCCAGCTACCTGCCCCTAACGAAAAGCCATTTGTAAACAAAAATGTTTTCTACTACCCAAAAAAGAAAATCCTTACCTCATCCTTATCTCTGATGTTTCCTGGAGGCATGGGTGATGTCACTGTAATCTGCCAGCAATGCTGGAAGCTCAGAAACCTGTAAGAATGCACTCCAGCTGAAGCAGAGGGGAAGGGTTCAAGGTAAGTGGATTCTGGGGGCAACAAATGATTTGTTTACAAATGGCTGACAGGATGACACAGACAGGTGCACAACTGGGAAACAGTTGTCACCTAATACTCAAAAGTATCTGAATAATGACCTTAAGGGGCAGGGTCACCAGGTAAGGCTGCAGATTTGCAGAAACTCAAAATGACTTTTGAAATTGCATACATGAGATTTTAGTTATGGGGTTAAATCTACTATATTAATTGATCTATTTGAAAGTCAGATTCTTTCATCTATAGCATTTGCAGATGATTTAGAATGGCCTTTACTGTACTTTATAAATTGTGGTACAATTTCTGATTAAACTATTTTTTTACTAATGTCAATGACTATGTTTTTATTATAATAAAAAGACAAAAATAACATTCTGTTTGAAAACTGCATAGTGTTTGAAAAAAATAAGTAACATAGCCATAAAAGGTTAAAAAAAAGACACATTAAAACATATTTTCAAATATAAAAGTTATGCGTTGCTTCAAAAAAGGGCGGTCTTCATCTCTTATCTGGATGTATAACATATGATCACCATGACTTTTGTAGGCATTGCTCTTAATTAGTTTATCTTTATGTGGGTGTATATTTTGGCAGACCTGTAACTTTGTGCTATTTGCTCGATCCAGCTGAGTTCTATCTCTCGTTTATTGTTGAAAATGAATTACGGAATCTTGCTGCAATGTCGATATACACTGGGAATGCTATAGAGTTCATTCCTTAAAGTGGTTGTAAAGGCTGAAGGTTTTTTTTTTACTCTAAAAGGAGATGTACAGCCAAAGCTCTTTTGGCTGTCCTCCTCCTATAGATCACAGGAGTGCAGTTCGTTCTAAAGCCCACTGTCGGGTGATATCATAGAGCCGGTCCAGGCTCAGGAAAGATCCCGACTTTAAAGTCAAGTCAACTTTAGAGTCAGACACCTGGCTCAGCTCTCACCCCAAGAGCTGGCGGGGGACAGTCTGATGTGGCATTCACTTACGTAAGTATGAGTTTGAAATAAAAACAAATCCCATACTTCTTTTAATGCACTCTCTGCATAAAGGTAAAAATCCTTCTATTGTCAGCTGCCCCCCCAGATACTTACCTGAGCCTGTACTCAATCCAGCGCTGTGCCCTAGAGCAGCGGCACTGCTCTCTTTCTCCCTTCTCACTGGACTCGGTGAGAGCAGTGGAAGCCATTGGCTCTTGCTGCTGTCAATCAAATCCAGTGACAAGGGAGCAGGGAGTCAGGGCCAACCCCCATTGTGTGTGTCAATGAACACACACAGCCTGGTTAGGGATCAAGCCCGCACATGTGCCACTATAGGAAGAGGAGGAGTCAGGAACATTGATGGGGGACCCTAAAAGAGGAGGTTTGGGGCTGCTCTGTGAAAAACCATTGCACAGGGCAAGTAAGTATGACATAATTAAAAAAAATAATATTACCTTTACAATCACTTTAACTTGTATAGAACAGGACTGTTTTCTTGTCTAAGCTTCTTTACCAGTTTTTTTCCCCCATTTATTAGAATGAATAGGGCTTAGCTTGCTTCAGAGTACATTTTTGTAAAGCACACAAGTTTTTTTTTTATGGATTTTTTTTTCCCTAATGAACCCCTTAAAGTTCTGTGGATAGCCACAATGAGGATGTTCCCTAGCACCAAGTATGTATCAAAGCAGCATCTCAGTACCATTATTTTCAATGCAAAATAGTGGGAACAATAAAGCATTTTTTTAAACTGCACTGTTATTGGCAGATTGCAAATCTAGCTAAAATATCACTACCCCACCCCCAATCAATTATACATATGACTCACATTATTAAAGTCTTTAGAAATACCTGAAAAAGAGGTAAATATTTACAATCATGTGACCTAATCTCTCTTTACTATCTCTAGCAGTGAGGATTATCTGTCTTGGTGTAGCCACAGTTTGGTGAACCATTCATGCCACAAGGAAGCCTAATCGGACGCTGATGATGCTGATGTCCCTTATCTGCAGGGGTACATAATTACATCACCCATGTAGTCTAGAGAACTACCTGGAGGCATTGAAAACAGAGGTGGTACGGACAGAAAATGGAAACGTGAGGAAGAGATTCATATTTTAAAGTTATGATTTATTCCACAAAGGAGTGCTGGCATGCTGAGAAAAGAAAGGGTAGCTGTGATCACTATAAGTGCTAAACAAGCTAAGTATTTTTGTTGAAAATGATGTTCTGCTGTAAACATGTTACTGTGGTTGCAAATGTTTTTTTTTTAAAATCTGCAGCTTTTAATACATGAAACATTGTGATGCTGCATGAAGGCAATTACTTTTATGGGGCGATACCTGTCTCCTACTGTACTCTTGTGTTGCCACACTGTTGTTACCAATGGGTAATTTCCAGGGGTGTATTTACCACAAGGCAAACATGGCACTTGCCTAGGGTGGCATTTTCAGGGGGGCAGCACTTCCCCTCAGAAGAAGGAATGAAAGAAGGGACACATGTGCCATAGGAATCAGGTGGGATCTGAGAGAAGCTGCGAGCTGCTTGATGGTGTATGTAGATCCTGACTCTGATTCCCTGGGAGTCCGGATGTGAAGATGAGTGTCTTTCTCTCTATCACTGGGGGGGGGGGGGGGGGGGTAGTGGAAGGCTCTCCCAGGTGGGGGCAGGGGTGTTGTTGGTCAATGTCAGGCTCTCTCCATGGGAGGGGGAAGGGGGGATGGTGTTGGTTGGTATCCGTGGGGGCAGACAATTTATGTGTTGCCTAGGGCAGCACAAAACCTAAATTTACCACTGGTCATTTCTATATAAAATCATACCTGTAAAAAGGAGAAAAATGTACCTACTTTTCCAGCAGCTCATATCCAGCTGCTCCTTGGATCTTGCAAATACTTGACCCTTTCACCTGCAGCACATTCTGGTTCCTGCTACTGGCTTGAATGTCGTCTAGCTAAATTGGCAGGGGATCAGGTATTCCAAACACCCAAAAATGTGGAATACATGCTCCAGAAACAGCAAAGCGCACACGGGCCACCATTAAGGTAACTACTGTATACTCACTCTTCGAAATACTGGTATGATTTTTTATACAAGTAACCCTGTTCTGACAAAGGCAATTTAAATCTATAGAGACAACAGATTTAACCACTTGCTCTCCTGAGGATTTACCGCCCTTCATGACCAGGCAATTTTTTGCGTTACAGCGCTACATTACTTTAACTGACAATTACGTGGTCATGCAACACTGCACCCAAATTAAATTTACGTCCTTTTTTTCCCAGGAATTGAGCTTTCTTTGGGTGGTATTTGATCGCCTATACATTTTTTATTTTTTGCGCTATAAGCAAAAAAACACTGACAATTTTGAGAAAAAAACAATATTATGGACTTTTTACTATTAAACATGTCCAGTAATGAAAAAAAAATCAAATTTCGTCATAAATTTAGGCCAAAATGTATTCTGCGACATGTCTTTGCTAACCAAAATCCCAATACGTGTAAATTAATTGGTTTACGGGAACGTTATAGCATGTATAAATGGCGGTATAGATAATGGGATTTTTTTTTTTGTCTACTAGTAATGGCGGCGATAAGCGACTTTTAGTGGGACTGCAACAGACATTCTGACACTGGGAGGGAACTAACTTGGTGGCACTGACATCTCCAGTGACACCAATACAGTGATCAGTGCTAAAAAAAAAAAAAAGCACTGACACTGTACTAATGGCACTGGGCAGGAAGAGGTTAATGTGAGGGGCGATCAAAGGGTTAACTGTGTGCTGGGAGTGTTTTACTAGGGGGCGGGGTGTTCTTCACTGTAAGCACATTGATTGGGATGGCTGTACTGTGCACAGCCATCCTGAGCAGTGTGCTCGAGCTGACAGGGATGAAGATTGTTTGTAAACAAACCAATCTTCCATCGGAGATGCTCAGTAATCACTGAACGCCGGCGGGTAATTACCGGCCAGGACCTGGTGATTGACATCCGCGGCCACAAATGATGACGAGGGTAGGGGGAATGAAAAATCCGTGATTTTGTGCACAGGTGCCGCCCTGTAGCAGTATATCTGCTATAGGGAAGTCCTTAAGCGGTTAATATCAATGAACCTCTGTCATTCTATTTAGATGTATTTGCAGCAAATCAGAGTGTGCACATAAATCAAATCAATGGATATCAAAGAGGAGGATTTCTATAGTGACCTGGTTTACTGTTTGTAATCTTGACATTGGGACCTAAAAGTGCTATAATATATAACCCTAGAACATGCAAAGGTATAAGGCCTGTTTCACATCAATGCATTTTTTAGTGCTTTTTGCTGAAACACACTACAGTCCATTTAACATGGTTTCCTATGGGACATGTTCACATCTATGCTTTTTTGAGCTACTGCCTTTTTGAAAAGAGTCAGGGACTTTTTTAAATGCAAAAAGCAGCATTTTTGTTACAATAGAGTTCAATGGAGAGGCTGCTGAAACGCATGTAGTGCGTTTTTACCGAATTTTACCACTTTTTGCATTTTTATTCTGCCCAGCAACAAAATAAAAATTCCACTTTAACAAAAAAAAAAGCTAAATAAGAAACACAAAACTTGGTAAAAAAACACACATGCAACAATGCACTACAAAGAGCACTGCAAAATGGACAAAAGCACAATGCATTGGTGTAAACCAGGCCTAAACATATATACAGCTGTACACAATCATGAAGTAAAAAATGACAATATATATACAGAGGTAAATAAAGGCTATCCTATTCTCTTACTCCTCTGTTTACTATAAAGAGTAAATAAAGAAAAACAAGTAAAATCACTGAATGTGGTGTCAATAAAGCATTAGGATGTTGTACTTTGTAATAATTAGTAATTGATTAAGTGATAATTGCTGTTGATTACTTGTCAGTGTTCAGAGTCTGGTAGAGCTTGCTCAGAGTGCTCAGCACATCTCCTTCTTTTTGTCTGTCCCTCAGCTGCTGTACAATGAGAACCCAGTGTTCACAGTATGCTATTTGTGCTCCAGTGGTGGGACATACTTCACTGTAGAAATTGAACAATTCTTCAATGATACTGAGCTGACCTATATAACAGATGAACAGCAAAAAGACTGGTATAACTAATCACATTCAAGGGGGAGATAAAAATGTAATTGCAATGATTTGCTAGAAGAAAAAGCATATTTTAAAATGTTTATTTCTTATTTGACATAAAGTTGTGAATCTGCTGGAGAACATTGTTGCAATCAATTACCTTAACCACTTCAGCTCTTGCACCTGTGTACACCCAATGGCCCAAAGCATCTTTACATTTCTATTGGGACTACTGATTCAAAAATATATTTATTTATTACTTCAAGTGTGCCTAAACCACAGCAGTAAAAACAGTCTGTATATACAGTAAAGCCTGTGGAACCTAAGGGGTTAAAATCCTCTGCATTGTGTAAAAAGGATGCTTGACCCTGTCTTCTCTGATCCCCCCTTCTTCCACAGTCCCAATCCATCTGCTGATAGAACAGAGCCATGGGGGCAAGCTGCACATGCACAGTTTGGTGTGTATTGCTAGAGAATTTTTATTTTTTTTTGGAGAGTGCATGTGATCAGCACAGGGCCAATCAGTGCTGTCCAGACAGAGGATCAGGGGTCCTGTAGTCTCATAGGAGGATATTGAAAACTCCTCCTACAAGCTTTAACCAGTGCTCTGCTGCTGGACACTGATAGAAGTCACAAGACTGCTCTAAGTGCTGATGAGAAGCTGCACATGCTCAGTTTGTGTATTGCTAGAGAGTTTTTTTTCGGAGAGTTCATGTGATTGGCACAGGGCCAATCAGCACTGTCCAGACAGAGGGTCAGGGTTTATGCAGCCTTATAGGAGAGAATGAAAACTCCTCCTACAAGCTTTAACCAATGCTCTGCTGGACACTGATAGAAGTCACAAGACTGCTCTACTGTAACTGCAAAAGATAAAAGGTAGCAGTTTGTATTTACTAAAATAATTGCATTTCCATGTTCTGTGTACTGTGGGAGACCAGATATTGTGAATGTAGGGTCCTGGGTTTAGTAATACTTTAAGATAACAATCAAATACATTATATTCTATTCTTATCATTTGTCTTGTTAAAATTACACTAAAATTATGATTTTGGTACAAAGCATTGCAAAGTTATTTATAAATAAATTGGGCATATTTAAATAATATGCTCCTTTTTAATGCAATACTGAAAATAATAACAAATAAAACAAGTAAAAATGGGGAAAAAATATGCTTAAAGTGTTACTAAACCCAGGATCCTGCATTCACTATATCTGGTCTCCCACAGTACATACAACATGGAAATGCAATTATTTTAGTAAATATAAACTGCTAAATACCTTTTCTCATCAGCAGTTAGAGCAGTCTGGTGACTTCAGCTGAGCACTGGTTAAAGCTAAAACCCTGGCCCTCTGTCTGCACAGTGCTGATTGGTCATGTGCTGATCACATGCACTCTCCCAAGAAAAAAAACCTCTCTAGCAATACACACTAAACTGAGCATATGTATGTGGCTATGGGTTCAGTCTGTCTTATCAGGAGATAAGATGTGGATATTTGGATAAGAGGAGGGGCAGAGAAGAAAGGATCAAACGGCCTTTTATACAATGCAGAGGATTAACCTCTTAGGTTCCACACTGATTTTACTGTTGTACAGAAATAAAAAAAATCAACAGGAAAATAACAGTTAAGGAGAGGAAAGTCCTGTCTAGTTTAGGCTACTTTCACACTGGGGAGTGTTTGAAGCACTTTTGCGTTAAACAAAAAGTGCCTGAAAAGTCCAAGAAAAATGCTTCCCACTGTATGTCTATGAATGTCTTCACACTGGGACATTGCGCTTCCGTTGTGGTGTAAAAGCTCCTGCTTGCAGCACATTTGGAGCATGTTTGTTCAATTAAAAAACAATGGCGTTTCAATGGGAAAACGCCTCTTCCCATTGAAATAAATGGAAATGCCTGAAAAACCGCCTCTGAGAACTATTGTTGGTGCAGTTTTAAGTCACATGTCTGTTTAAAAAATGTTCTGCATAACAAACGCGCAATAAAGACGTGGCAAAAATGCATATGTGTTTTGCTATGTTTTTGTGGCGGATCAGTGTGAAAGTAGCCTTAATGAAGATTTTTTGGCCATGTGTAGCATCTCTAATATTCACAACTGGTTAAAGATACTATCTGGTTAAAGGTTAAGTTCACCTTTTTTCCCCTAAATTCCAGCTTCCCTATGTACCACATTAATGTACATCTTCTGCAGAAATCCAAAAGCTTTCCATTTTTTCTACACACCTTTATGTCAGTGTCCAGATGGCTGTATAAAAATGCTTGTCCATTACTTCTGCTTTATTTTCTGCAGAGACTTTAGGTCATAACACAGGAAGGAATTGACCAGCTGACCTCATTAGCACACACCCTGCATCATCTACCGTCCCACTCCCACCCACTTCCAGGTGCACAACTATTAAATGAAATACAATCAATCAGTGATCGCTGTTCTTTTCTACCTTAACTTTCATCTTGCATAGATTATTCCAGGGGCGGACTGACAACTCATGGGGCCCCTGGGCAATGGGGGATCATGGGGCCCCTGTGTCCTTGCCCAAACTCAAAAAAGCCTAAGAAAAAGGTACCAGGGGCATCTCATGGGGCCCCCTACTGACCCCGGGCCCTTGGGCTGTGCCCGAGTTTCCAAATGGTCAGTCCGCCCCTGGATCATTCATTTGGCAGTATGTGCTGGAATGTCAGATAACAGCCTATGTGGATAGAGCTGTAGAATTGAAAACAGGAAAATTGTGTTCTGTGTTCTGTAAAGCTCACCATACACTTTACAATCTGTACAATCTCCTTTAGATCTATCATCAACTATGTAGTGCAAGGGCCTTCCTGATTACATACAGAGTGAATGGGTCCTCCTCCTGTTCCATAGTTCTGTAAAATCTAAAGGAAATTGTACAATCAGATCGCATAGTGTATGGCCATCTCTATGGCCATACACCAGTTCCTACACCAGTTTCATAAAATAAAGATATGATATAAATGGGCTACTCACTTTTCAGGTTATTGGATTTCATTGCAAATAGTAAAGCCAGTTCATAACACACCCTTCCATCTTCCAGCCTATGTTGTTGAATTAGAATGTTTCCAAACCAATGAAGAACCTGTGCCAGTTCTCTTTCTGCATCATCACAGCCCTGCACATCCATGAAAAGCTGGGTGGATTTTACAAAATACCTCTCTGCCATAATATATGCTTGGCAGAATACTGACAACCTTCCAAAATTTGCTAGGGCTATGGCTTGGTTCCGCCTGTTGCCAGTTTCAGTGGCCATCTTAAGAGCATAAGAATACCCTCTTGATGATTCAAGTATCTGTTTGTTCATCTTCTGCGCATTTGCAAGGAGATTATGTACAACGCCAACCACACTGAGTGGTGCTGTCAGTTTCCTGCATGGAGTCTAGCAGAGGCAACAGAATATGACAAGCCCTTCAAAATGGCCACTCAGTATATACAGCCATCCCAGAAACAGAGAGGATTCAAAAGCCTCTTCTTCACTTGTCCATCTACCCAGTTCCACAGCCCTTTTCGTGTAGCCAATGGCACCTGACAGAAGACAGTGTTGTAGATAGAGCTTAGCTAACATAAGACACAGCGTCCTCTGAGCTTTTACATCACCACTTTCATAAGAGGAGGACAAAGCATGTTTCAAGTATGGGGCAGCCTGGGCTGGAATGTAATTCCCTTTCAGAGGATAACCCATGATTTTGGATAAGTTCTGCATGACAACTGCTACCCTCCACAAAGGAGAGGGCCGTGTTTTTATGCCAACTGATTTGCACAGTCTGGCTGATGACAAAGCAACATGAGGCAGATACTTCTTGTCATACAAGTAACTTAAAAGTGGCAACACACTTGTAGTAGAGTTTAAAGTCTGAGAGCATGAGGTGATAAGAAGAAACTGTAGACGTTCTAGAAAGGGAAGGGCTTCATCATGTCTGCCAAGCTGAAGGAGTAACCGGAAAATGAGGAAGCAAACTCTGGATTCCAAGGAGGCATTATTGACAATGACAGCTTTCCTGAAAACATATTTTAGCACCTCCAGCTCATTCTCAGAGCTAAAATTATGCTGTGGCAAGCATGTTAGAAGACTGGCAGCCTTTTCCAGCAACAGGTCTTGCTTAGTTCTCAAATTTTGTTTCAAGTAGATAGCTGATAAGTTCCCATACAGAGCAGCCAAAAGGTGCAGGTCAAGAAATCCCTGGTTAATGGCACTTAAAGCTTCTTCAAAATAAACCCTTGCTTGAGAAAGTTTCATCCGCTTAGCGCAAATACGCCCAAGAAGAAAGCAGCAACGGACATGAGCCCAAGACATATTATTTCTCTTTGCCCAGTTCCGAGATGTCTCCAAGTACATGACTAAGTCTTCCTCTTCAGAAAATCCATAAAATGTGGAGCTGAGAAAAGACATTGAAAGGTTATATAAGGGCTGAAAATGAGAGTCGTAGCCCTCCTTGTTGAGAAATGTCAAGATGGGGTCAAAAACTTCACAGTCTTCTAAGTCACTTGCATTTAAATCAACAAAAAATTTAGGGTCATCAATATCTTCTTGACCAGGAACATGGAAGGTTTCCACTCCATATTTCCACTCAGAATCTGGTGTTGACTTCTCAGAGATACTACATTTAGAAGAATCAGTTACAGCTTCACTTTCCTCCGAGCTGTCAGGTATCTGAATTTCACCATAATCTTCCCTTGTCCCTAAAAAATAAAACAATGCTATTTAAAATAATAGAGGGTGGTCTGCTAGTGATGCAGTTTATTAGACAATTTAACATTGTAAAAGTTACCAGTATAAGAAGATAGCAAAGGGTAACGTATTGCTATGAAAAAAAGTTGTTTCAAAAGCAAATCATTCTAAACACAACTCCAGGCAAATACTGAAAATGTTATTTAGTTTCCAGAGTATTATGTCAAATCGTAAAGTTGTTTTTCATTTCAGCTGCTATAACCTATGTGGATATTTTTGCAGCATGGTAATTTGAAATTGACATAAAAACTAGATCACCAACTGCTAGTGCATTCTTTGGAAATTGATTTCTCATTCCTGTTAGGTGTTTGACTTTTGTAACTTTAAAACTAAGTCTCATCCCCTCCTCAGCTGCTATCACCCTTTCAAATGAGAGTGCCTCAATGGCTGCAGGTGGACATTGAGACAAAATTTAGAGACACAGTGAAACAATTTCAGATAAGAACACAGAGGAGGGTTTTCTCGCTAACAAATATCACAGCAGACACCTTGTGCTTCTGTCTTTCATACATTTGCTTTGACAAGACATTTACTTTGGGAGTTTCATGAACACTTTTTAAAAAAGGTAAATGGAGGTTGCGATAGCAAGACAATAATCAGAAGAGGTCAACAGTTCAAGCTGCTAACCCTAACCTACAAGGCCACTCACAATGCCGCCCCGAAGTACATAACTGACCTGATACCCAGATACTACCCTACCCGTGCCCTCCGCTCCTCACAAGACCTCCTGCTCTCTAGCTCCCTGGTCTCCTCCTCCCACGCCCGATTGCAGGACTTCTCTAGGACTTCCCCCATCCTCTGGAACTCCCTACCCCAATCCATCAGAATGTCACTTACCCTCCTCACCTTCAGGCGCACCCTGAAAACCCTCCTCTTCAGGGAGGCCTACCCCAACCTCACCTAACACCCGACCTCACCTAACAACTAACCTCCTCCCACTCCACCCACCACTCCATCCCCCACAGCCATCTCCTCCTGTGCCACCTTCCCCTCCCTCCTAGATTGTAAGCTCGAAAGAGCAGGGCCCTCAATCCCCTCGTGTAGTGTATTGTTACTGTCTTGTCTCATGTTATGTCCCCCTGCTACTGTACAGCGCTGAGCATACCCTTTGGCGCTATATAAATACTATATATTAATAATAACACAAGTTAAAACAAACCTGTCAGCCATTTAAAATGGAAATGAAATGAAGCCTTTAAAGTGCCCAAAAATGCCAATGATTTTGATCATGTGATTTTGTCATTGCTGCCAAAGGATAAGATCAAAGTTCAGATGCCCTGAATCTCCTCCTCTGCAGAGATCATTTGACTGAAGGGAATGGGATTCACATGGATCTTATGTGAACAATAGATCCATTTTAACTTTCATTTTAATTGAATCTGGGATTTTCATACTCTGGAAGCCTAATAGAGTCAAAAGGGAATGATACCTATAATTGCATACTTCAATATTAACACATTTCATAAATAAAGAGATCAAAATTCAGCTCGTTCAGGTTGCACAGAGAACTTTAAAGCAACCACTTCTAATTCTAATCTTGTACTGAGATTTCAAGTACTTTTTGTCAAAAAGCAATCCTGAAAGGAAAAGTAGATTAATTGTTTCTGTTGCTAAAACAAACTAAAGTGAATATGAAATATATTCTTACCAAAAGAAGATTTTAAATATATTTCCACAGGATCCAAACCATCTGCAAAACACAGGACGCAAAAGTCAATTGTTACAAAATTCAATTCAGTGTAAACTTTTTGGAGTCCCCTTAAAAAAAATAAATCAAAACAAAGATCACAATATCTCATTATTAATATCATCTAACATTCACATACATTCCTTATATCAAACTCATGGGCATAAACGACTTGAGAGTAAATGTGGACAGTTTCAGACCAACAGAGGAGAAAATGGTGTTAGCATTTGAAAAGATACATGCATAATGTAATCATGGGACTACAGATGTTGAACATGACAGTGTTATATTGAATCAGTCACTTAATTTAAAATTGCTTAAAAATGTAAGAACTCTTCATTTTAAGCAGATTGTTTCTACAAATTAACGCTTGTCTAGCAAGTGAGTCAGTGTTTACAAGGCAGTTGATATTGATTTAACATTGTCTGAACTGAAGCAGAAATCTGTTCAAGAGCAATCAGCTTTCAGCCTCTCCTTGCAGGCGAGCTCAGGCCATGTGTGGCTCTCCAGCTGTTCAGGTCTATTTCATTTCTTTTACATAAATATAGAAGCATCAATTCAGTATAGCAGTCCCTGCAGTTTAACCCCTTCCATGCTTCTCTGCTAGCATCTGGTCTTCTATTCACCGCTTTGTCCTACATTATATTACCAGATAACTGGTATAAATGGTAAGATAACATAAACCACAAGTTAGATAATAAAGAGTAGTAATAATATTATAGATACACGGGGCTTTTTTTTCTTTTAGAATAGGTGCAGGTACTCCCTCCTTTTGATGCGCCACATTTCTTCACCTCCAGCCTACGTCTGAGCACCATCCCTTGGTTCCACCCCCTACCCTAAATTTGTATATTTTGTTATTGATGACAAGAAAGGCAGTAAATTTGATTCCCTGCAGCCAGGAGCAATAGATCTCAACAACAGACCCACCGCACCAATAGACCCTCTTCAACAAAATACCCCCCGCAGAAAAAATAAATCAACCCCAGAAGACCCCTGCCAGCAGCAACAGATCTCCCAGCAGCCATCATCAATAGACCTCCTCAAGTACTGGATCCCTACCAGCAGCAAATGATTCCCTGCAACAATAGATCCCCATAGTGACAATAGTTCCCCCAGCATCCAGCCTCAATTGACCGTCCAGCATATCCTACCACACCACCCCCTGCCATTACATAAATGCAGTGCTTGAAGTGCCAAAACTGCGTTCCCCGTGAAAAAAAGCCCTATGGATACATACGTAAATGTTAAAGGAGATTTTTATTACTGAATATTGCTTGAAAGAGAGTGATATAATATGAAACATTTTTTCATCAAAAGCTATCACTATTTAGTGACAGGGATGGTCAAATGAGCTTGAGAGTAGTAGCATAGTAGTACAACAAACCATGTTAGGAGGGTCTCCATCAATAACCAAAGCAAAAAGATACCCTGGTCTTAGAGGATGATGGTCAGGCATGGGGCTAACAAGCCCATCCTGGTAATAAAAAAAGCAAAACTTAAATCAAGAGGCTAAGGTGCCCAATTCACTGCAATGTCACAGAAAATGTTAACCTGGCTATACATGAATAGATTTTTTTTCATTCAGTCCCCAGCCCTTCTTTCCCAATTGTCAGGTTAACACATGCCGCTGCATCTCTGCCAGGTTCCATAGAGGCTGGTAAAGGTGGTAAAGGCTCACAGCATGTCTGCACATGTATGCTATCTCACAAATGGGATGGCTATGTCACAGATAGCAGTTTGCTAGATATCACACATTAGTACACACACTGTGGGGTCTGTCTAGTCTGCACATGCACATGAGGCCAAGATTTAGGCCTACATTTTTTTTGTTAAAGACAAAAAAATAAAAAAAAAAAGTTTTTACTTTTCAAATGAGGCATGAGCGAGGACCTTGAAAAGTAAGGTTCTGCTTTAAAGTAGAACTAAAGACAAAACTTTTTCTATTTTGGACAGAATAAAGGAGAGTTAAAACCCCTGTCAGACTTTTTTGGCATCTGTGTTCCACTGGGGAGATTTACCTTCACTGTCCTATAGAGAAAACAGCAAGTGAGAAGTCCCTGCAAATTAAAGGAATCCATTAGGGCCCCTTAGCTTATCAGAGTTAGTCTCCCCATCGGAGTATTTCCCCTCTATTAAGTTTCTGGAAACAACCCAAAATTTGGAATTTTCTTTTACTTTTGGTTAACAGGACAAATTGAGAGGGTGAATTTCCTTAACGAGGACATAGATAGCAAAAAACGCACTGGCAACATAATAGGTGGTCTAATCTAAGTCTATCCAACACAAGGGCTTTTTTTCAGCGGGAACTAGGGGGAACGAAGTTCTGGCACCTCCAGCATTGAATGTACTGTATGTAATTGCAAATGTGCTGGGGTATGCTGATGGATCTATTGATGCTTTCAGCTGGGGGAACTTTTGTTGCTGGAGTGGTCTGTTGTGCCATGGAGTAACTTTTTGCTGTGAGGAATCTACTGTTGAGGGCGGGGTCTATTGCTGATGGCCAATCTATTGTTGCTGGGGTTCAGTTATTGTCACTGGTGGGTTATCTTTGATGGAGGATCTATTGTTGCTGGGGTGAGGGGTATTTTGTTGCGGGGTCTATTTTTGCTGGGGGGAATATATTGTTGATAGAGGGGTCTGTTGTTGCTGACTGCAGGGGATCTAATTTACTGCTTTATTGTTACCATATACACATTCCATACAAATTCCTTAGAAACTCAAAATGATACTTGGTTCTGTATTCTCTAAAAGGGGCAGTACTGGGAGGTGGGTAGGGTGAGGAACCAAGGGATGGTGCTCGGAGGTAGGTAGGGGCAGAGACAAGGGGTGACTCAGAAGGGGGAGTACCTGCACGTATTTTCTGAGAAAAAAAAGCCCTGTCAAAAACTAAAAAATAAAAGTTTTGCTTTTAGTTATACTTTCAGCAGCCTCTGATAGTACACTCTAGCTATATACACTACTGCTTCTTGCAGAATCAAAGGCCCTTTGTCAGCAAGAAATTGGTGTTTGGATATGCAGCAGTTTACTAATTACATAAAGCAGCATGCTTCCTCCAAGGCTGTCAATGCTATGCTGCAAAACTGAATTATTTTACACTGCTCATTACTCATTAACAGTATGCATTTAAAAATTAAATATACATTACTTCTCAACAAACAGTCTAATCTTACTTTACTAGTAGCAAAATAACTAAAAGGAGACCTAAAGAGTAGGCCAAAATCAAACGTGACCCTGTGCTTTGCCCATACTTAACTGCCTCTACAGCTTTACATGTTCACCTTTCATTCTCTCCCCTAGCATGCTTTGTGGCTTCTGGGAGCAAAAATAAATGTCTGGTACTAAAGGGAAAGCATGTAACTCACCCATTTCAAGCTGGGCACAGCAGCAAATAAGTGGACCTCTAGTTTTTCTCTTCAGGGACTACTTTTCGCCAAACTGTGCATCAGTAGCTTCCTACTCTCTTCAGCTACCAGCCCTAAAGCTCAGCCATGGTAGTGGGTCAAATGCTGAGGTACATGATCCTAAACAATAATTGTGCTTGGGTGCTATCAGCTCAAGAGTGCCCAGAACTGTGGAAAAATTATTTATATTCTTAAGAATGATCACGATTTTTCTTACCCATCCTGTACACTGATGTGATCTCAGTTTGGGCCAAGCTACGTAGAAGATCTGCAGAGACTCTCTGAGCTTCATCATCAAAGGAGTTTAGGGAAATCTTCTCCTCCTCACTAAGAAATAATAAATCTTTACACCTGTAAGAAACATCAATGTGAGTTGTAATATTACATTCTGATTGTGTCACTAACAGCATTATTCAATAAACAAAGTGCAAAAAAACAAACTAAAGCAAATCTTCAGACGTCAATTTTACTTAACTGCTTTCCCACCACCCTATAGCAGATATACTGCTACAGGGCGGCAGGGGTGCACAAAATCACGTATATATTCAGTACGTGATTTAGCATTTCCGGGTAGGGGGCAAGCGCACGCCCTACCCGCGCCACTACTCATGGCCTATACTCACCGGCACCTGGTGATCATGGAGCATTACAGATGGAGGGAGAGAACTGTAAACAATACAGTTCTCTCCCCTGTCAGCTCCTGCACACTGATTTACATGGCATTGCATAGCAGAGCCATGCAAAGCAGTGTGCTTACAGTTAAAAGCACTAACACAGCCCACTGTAAAACAGCACACAGTTAACCCTTTGATTGCCTCACATATTAACCCCTTCTTGCCCAGTGTCATTAGTACAGTGTCAGTGCTTTTTATTAGCACTGATCACTGTATTGTGTCACTGGAGATGTCAGTGACGCCAAGTCAGTTCCCTCCAGTGTCAGAATGCCTGTCGCAGTCCCGCTATAAGTTGCTGATCGCTAGTAGAAATTTTTTTAAAAAGTTAAATCCCAATACATATACTGCCTTTTGTAAAATTTTAAAAAATCTAATTTCGTTATAAATTTTGACCAAAATGTATTATGCTTCATGTCTTTGCTAAAACACAATCCCAATACATGTAAATTAATTGGTTTACGTGAAAGTTATAACTTTCACGTAAACCAATTAATTTACATGTATTGGGATTTTTTGTTTAGTAAAGAAAAATAAAAACCGCATCAAATACCACCAAAAGAAAGCTCTATTCATGGGAAAAAAGGACGTAAATTTCATTTGGGTACAGGGTTGCATGTCCGCGCAATTGTCAGTTAAAGTAATGCAGCACCGTAACACAAAAAAATGGACTGGTCAGGAAGGGGGGGTAAATCCTCTAGAGGGCAAGAGGTTAAACAAATTCTTTGTTTTTATTTATTTTTTTAAAAATCTATACTGAATACTAGTAAAATAAGGATCTCTCAAAAGTATGATAATTTACACATGACTGTATGGACACTGAAGCTAGATGATCTGTGGACAATTTGCATAATGGCCAATATTACTTTACCCAGCCAACTGACTTCTACCCCAAGAATGGTGGCCTGAGAATGCCTATAATGATCATCTAAACTTGAATCACGAACAAAGCAATACCATATGGTAACATATACACCCCATATCTTGTAGGTAACAGGACACAGACCTGCAGTCATTTATTTATAACAACTGAAATGGTAAAATGATTATTCATACTAATACCCAAACCTCTGATTTATCAATGCAGTCCCTTCTATATGAAGTTGCTCTCAAACCTAATCTAGGATAACAAGTGTTGAAAACCCTAGGGTGTCAAAATCACTAGGAGGACAGACAAAGTCCAAAAATGTATCAGTAGATAAGGTTGACACACCTTAGATAATGAATTACAGGCTAACCTGCATAAGCCACACCAATGGATGGCAAAAACATTCTTACAAAGAGCACACAAAAAAGATTTCCACTTACAGTGTACATATGAACATTATCTGAAGGATTACATTTACTAGTATAAATGTAACCTTCTTTCATGAGTGTTATGAAGATTGTAGGAACCAATGGATTCCTGTACTTTTGAATAATGTTACCCTGCACTGTTTCACCATTTTGTAAAAAGTGGTCAGTCAAGTCTGGTGCATGAGTTACACCACTGGTGTGCATTGTGAAGGGTGTGAAGCACAGACACATCACCACATTAACCACTTGCCTACCAGGCACTTATACCCCCTTCCTTACCAGGCCAATTTTCAGCTTTCAGCGCTGCCGCACTTTGATTGACAATTGCGCGGTCATGCAACATTGTACCCATATGAAATTTTGATCATTTTTTTCTCACAAATAGAGCTTTCTTTTGGTGGTATTTAATCGCCACTGGGCACTTTACTTTTTGCGCTATAAATAAAAAAAAGTGCAAAAAATTTGAAAAAAAAAAAAGTTTCTTTGTTTCTATTATAAAATTTTTCAAACAGGTATTTTTTCTCCTTCACTGATGTGCGTTGATGAGGCAGCACTGATGGGCACTGATACGCGGCACTGATGGGCACTGATAGGCAGCACTAAAGGGCACTGATAGGCAGTACTAATGAGGTGGCACGGATAGGCGGCACTGATAGACAGCACTAATGAGGTGTCACGGATAGGCGGCACTAATATGCAGCACTGATAGGCGGCACTGATAGGTGACACTGATGATGGGTACTGATAGACGGCACTGACTGGCATCACTGCTGGGCACTGACTGGTGGCACTGACTGGCACAACCCCTGGGCACTGACTGGCAGCACTGCTGGGCTGCACTGGTGGGTGGCACTGGTGGGCAGCACTGGTGGGTGGACACAGGGGGGTGGCACTGCTGGGCACAGGTGGGTGGGCACAGGTGGGTGGCACTGCTGGGCACAGGTAGGTGGCACTTCTGGGCACAGGTGTGTGACACTGCAGAGTGGCACAGGTGGGTGCACTGCTGGGCACAGGTGGGTGCACTGCTGGGCACAGGTGGGTGATCTGCTGGGCACAGGTGGGCGGAGCTAGTGGGCGCACTGCTGGGCACAGGTGGGCGGAACTTGTGGGTGGCACTGCTGGGCACCGATCATCAGGGCACTGATCATCAGTGCCCGGATGATCGGTGCCGATCCCCGCTCTGACAACTGCCGGTTCTCGGCAGTACTTTCCTCACGATCTGACAGCGTGAGGAAAGTGCAGCCGAGAACCGGCACTTGCATTTCCCTCTGATCAGCGTGTCATTGGACACCGCTGATCACGTGGTAAAAGGCCGCTGTGATTGGCCTTTTACCACATCACGTGATCAGCTGTGTCCGTAGGACACAGCGATCACGGAGATCGCCGGGTGCGTGCCCCCTGGGGCGCGCAGGAGAGCGCGTTCTGGGAGGACGTCATATGACGTCCACTCAGAACTGGCCGGCCGCAGTGCAGCCGTCATTTGGCTATCTGCGGTCGGCAGGTAGTTAAAGATTTTCTTTTACATTTCTACCCTTGTGGAAGATGTTGGTTTAAACACCTCATGGATTATGAGTTGGAGTGATTTTGCACAATTTGTTTATTTTACACTGCATCGCTTGTTGGATGTATTTTTGATGTATTGTTTTATGCACCTTTATTGATTTACACAGCATTTTTATCATGATTTATATATTTATTGATGCATTCATTTATTGATTTAATGCACTTATTATTAGTATAGAATATTTGCTATGGTATGAATTAATAGTGTTTTATATTTGTATTTTTGGTACCAAAGAAGGTGGCATATAAGGAAACTCAGCAAACGAAAAAATAAACTCATGTTGGACTTTAAGAAAAGGGATTATAAACCTTCTGCATGAATTAACCTGTTTTAAACTAAATTTACAAATAAACACAATGCTTGTTTTCATATGACATTTTGTTGTTTCTGCCAATCTACATTGACAAGACATGTGGAAAACCAAGCAACTAATTTATTAAAGTGGAACAGCACTGCATCTGAGCACCACAAACAAAAAATGCTATTTAATTCATTGTTAATATTCAAAGCAAAGTCACCCATCCATCTATGTCCCCATGCTTTATTCTGCTGGGAAATAATTTTGAAAAACACCCCCCTGGCATTTCTGGCCATGGCCATCTTGAGTAAGGGCAGATGATTCATGTAACATTTACTTCCTATAATCTATCTGCCCATAGTTCAGGCATTGACTGAGCTGAGAACCCTCCCCTGAAGATTGCTGGGATGTATGACATCAGTTGCCTTGGCATGGAAACCAGGAAGTAACTGAAGAATTGTAAAAATAAAGTTTAAAAACAGGTAAATATGATATACCTTCCTATCTATTTATTAATGCCAGCAGAATAAAGATTAAAAATAGTCTATGCTGATTGAGAGAGTGAAATTCCACTTTAAATGCATTATGCTTTTGAAAGAACATACAAAATCAAAAGGGCAAACTTCCTGTAGCAGTACCCCTGTAAGAGCTGCTGGTAGATGATGGTCTCTCCCACCATTTCTAATAATGGCCTGTCTTGCAAATGGATCAAGCAATACACTGATACACCAATTGGTATAATTGGGCTTTATTAAAAATGGCAATAAAGCCTGAGTAAAAAAGAGGTGATTAGACAGAATTGAAGTCGTAAAAGGACGTCAAGGACACAGTGAAGTGAAAAGGACTGATATTAGTTCTCTTTATGTAAGAGGTCTTGCCTGAATGGATTAGGAGAGTAGAGAATGACACTGCAAGCAGTAATAATAAACAACGATTAATATAACCAAATGTCTCTAGTTTACAGTAGATTGAAAGTTATGCGAATACATCACTAGACCCTAACTAACCACTCACCCAATGAGTAATTCTACCACAAGGTCTGCCATCTGTGAGGCTCCTTAAACTCACAGCGGAGCGCTTGAACTTCAGATAACGGTATTTGTAATCCACAAGGGTATAGTTATCTTTGAAAAGTGTGCTAAACAATCCACAGTGAAAGAGTATAGAGGTCCGCTTTAAGCAACCTCACCATAGCAAAGAGTGTCCCCATACAAGTGTTCCACACTAGAGGGTCATCAAGCGCTCTCACATTTAACAAATGTCTTTCTGGGTCCAGTCTGATGATCACTCCTGCCGGCAGATAAGAGGTAAGCTGCAATGCTTCTGCTGGCAAGTAAGTTAGATGGCCAAATGGAGTCTGTATCTGTCCTTTTCTCTTTGACTGCTTTCTCTCTCTGGCTCTGTGTGTCTGGTGGCACACATGAAATTCTCTCTCTCCAACTGGCAGACTGTCACCCTGGAGTTCTCTCACATTTCCAAACAGTATTTTTCTCTCCCTGGCTTCCCCCAACTGAAAAACCCCAGCCATAGTCTGGTTTTTGGGGCTAAAGCACGGCTGCCAATGTACCATCCTCCTTCCTCCTCCTGCATGCCTGCCAATCACCATCAGGGTAACTTACAGTGGCAAAAATAATTATTTGATCCCCTGCATATTTTGTAAGTTTGCCCACTTACAAAGAAATGAAAGGTCTATAATTTTTATCATAGATGTATTTTTAAATGAACCAAACCAAATTAAATAAACCACAAATCCAGAAAAAACACGATACAAATGTTATAAATTGAGTTGCAGTTCAATGCGTAAAATAAGTATTTGATCCCCTATCAACCAACAACAATTCTTGCTCCCACAGTCTGGCTATGTGCTCATGTTGTACACAGATTAGTCCTGTCAATTTAAAAAGGTGCTCCTAATGACAACTTATGTGTATAAAAGACACCTGTCCATAGAATCTCTTCCTTACATTCAAACCTTGTTTTCATGGGCAAGACCAAAGAGCTGTCAAAGGACATCAGGGACAAGATTGTAGACCTGCACAAGGCTGGAGTGGGCTACAAGACCATCAGCAAGAAGTTTCAGAAGAAGGAGACATCTGTTGGAGCGATTATTCGCAAATAGAAGAAATATAAAATAACTATCAATCTCCCTCTGCCTGGAGCTCCGTGCAAAATTTCACCTCATGGGGTAAGGATGATTATGAGAAAAATGAGGGATCAGCCCAGAACTACACTGGAGGAGTTTGTGAATGATCTCAAGGCAGTTGGGACCACAGTCACCAAACAAACCATTGGTAACAGAATACACCGCCATGGATTGAAATTCTACAGCGGCCGCAAGCAAGTCCCCCTCCTCAAGAAGGCACATGTACAGCCCCATGTGAAGTTTGCCAATGAACATCTAAATGATTTAGAGAAGGATTGGGAGAAAGTGTTGTGGTTAGATGAGACCAAAATTGAGCTCTTTGGAATTAACTCAACTTGCCGTGTTTAGAGGAAGAAAAATGCTGACTATGATTCTAAAAAACACCATACCTACAGCCAAGCACAGAGGTGGAAACATTATGCTTTGTAGCTTTTTCTCTACTAAAGGAACAGGCTGACTTTGCCGCATTGAAGGACCAATGGACTGGGCCATGACAATAACCCAAAACATAACGCAAGGCAATAAAGGAGTGGCTTAAGAAGAAGCACATTAAGGTGATGGAGTGGTCTAGCCAGTCTCCAGACCCTAATCCTATAGAAAATGTATGGAGAGAGCTAAAACTTCGAGTTGCCAAGCGACAGCCAAGAAACCTTAAGGATATAGAGGAGATCTATAAAGCAGAGTGGACCAAAATCCTACTGAGATGAGTGCAAACCTGGTAACCAACTACAAGAAACGACTTACAACTGTGCTTGCCACTAAGTACTAAGTCATGTTTTGATTGGGGATCAAATACTTATTTTACTCACTGAACTGCAACTCAATTTATAACATTAGTATCTTGATTTTTCTGGATTTTTGGCTGATATTCTGTCTCTATCATTTAAAGTGGTTGTAAAGGTTCAAGGTCTTTTACCTTCATGCATTCTATGCATGAAGGTAAAAACTTTTCTCTGTGCAGCATCGCACCCAGCCCCCTAATACTCACCTAAGCCCCCTTTTGCTCCAGTGATGTGCACTGGAGTCTTGGCTATCCATGGACCTCCTCTCCTCATTCGTTGGTGAGCCAATGAGAAGAGACTGGGCTGAGTCACGATTCCGGGTGAGAATGGACACACTGTGCAGCGGCTGGGAAGTGTGCATGCTCGGGTGGTGCCCTCATAGCAAGCTGCTTGCTATGGTGACACCCAACAGGAGGGAGGGGCCATGAGCGTCAGCCGGGGGCACGAGAAGAGGAGGATCTGGCTGCTCTGTGCAAAACTACTGCACACAGCAGGTAAGTATAGGCATGCTTTTCAGTTTTGTAAAAAAAAAATGTAAGCCTTTAAAATCACTTTAAAATACTCCTATGATAAAAATTATAGACCTTCATTTGTTTGTAAGTCGGCAAACCTACAAATTCTGCAGGGGATCAAATAATTATTTTCTCCACTGTATGGTGTGGCCCCAAGAATGCTCAGGCTGCATGGCTCCGACCTTGAAGTGGTCATTGGCTGGACTATATGCCTGTATTTTCCAACAGGTAAAGACTGAAAACTGGAGTACTAGGACTAGAAAATGAAGGGTCACACCTATAAATTAGTGTACAACAGCTCACTAAAAGATCAAAACCCAATATCTATTTGCCGAAATAGGCATTTTCACAAGTACGCAATAAACGGCATAATACATTTTTTTCAGAATCTGACATGTGAGAAGAGCTTAAAGTATGTTTTTCTTAAAGTTTGGCCCATGAACAGATTGGTGTATGGTGTCTATAATGTAATCTATTGCCTATCAAGTATAGATAATCTGTATTTTAGGCTCCAGTCAGCTTATCAAAGTACACCTGTCGTGACTCCAACTATCTATTCTTCTGGGGCTTTTTTGCCAAGAAATACTTCTTCTAATGTCCTATTTACATGATACGATGCCAAAACAGGTTGTACATGTGATATTATTTATGATACAATACTTTTAATACTTTAAAAGGATAATTTCATTTTGCATCTATGTGTGTATGCCAAATAGCCTGGCATATTATTTTTATGAGGTGTTTCATGATGTCAGTTATATTTAGTAGTTTTGGCCATTTTTAGGGAGTGAATGCCTGCATACAAACAAAGGCATTTTACTAGAAAAGGTCTGATTTTTATCAGTGCAAATCCATTTGAGACTGAGAAAACACTAATGGTAACAATCTGTAAGTCTAATGCAACACAGTATCAGATAGCAAAACAAAGAATTATTCTATTTTAAGGATTCATGTTGGACCA